AAACTAAATTAGGCCGACAACAACAAATTTATAACCTTCGAATAAATAATTCTAAACTTTAAAAAAGTTATTTTAATTTAATGAATTATTAATTTATTATCCGAAAAGTGTATTTTCGAACAACAACGAAAAATTATTGAAAATAAAATCAAGTCACGCAGTATGAATTTAGAATAGTGGGTGCAAAATGACGCAGAAAAGAATATTCCCAACGAATACAGGATAGCGCGTCACTTGGTGTTCCGCTAATCTAAGCGCGCCGAACGAAAAAGGGCCAAACAACAACGACGTAGGCTCCGCTGCAGAAGCGAAAACGAAAAGTTCACCGCTGCAGCTGTTTGTATTAATTAACAAAATATTATCTGCGTTTATTAAACTTTATGAGATCCGTTTAGATCTGTTTGCGGTTCTCTTAAAACTAACTTAAGCTTACATTTAGAAGCCTAACCAAACCTATGGATACCCGGCAACGTCGCGGAAGAACGCTGACCATGCGCCTCGTGTCGTGCTGTAGCGGCCACTTGGTGTACGGATCTGCTGACCGTGCGCCTCGTGACCTTCTTCGTCGGCTGCTACGTGCGCGGATCAAGTTACGCCGCCGCTGGCAGCCATTGCGTTAGCCGTTGTCTGCCTCGATTTAGCTTAGCTTGTGTTAACTCCTCCCTCAGCTAAGTGAAGATGGTCCTCGGTTTTCCTACTGTTTGTTTGTGGGTTCTTGATGATCTCGCTTCGTTCCCGAAGTTTCGTGCGTTTTTGGATTTTTCGCACCAGTATCAGGCCAGTCATGCCTCCGCAGTTCCATATGGGTCTGTAGGTCAACAATGTGCAGTTGAAATGTGTAGTTGGCCAATGTGCTGTAAATTCGTCAGACTCATCTGCTTGGTCCTTGGTCACGTTGATTTGAGTGACTGCAGAAACAACCGGCTTTCTTATAAAAACACCATAGTTGTTGGTGTAACGTGTTCCGTTAATTGTGATTTCGTCGTCAAAGTTCACCAGGTAGGTTCCGGAGATAGACGACGCTGAGCTCGAATAGAATGAAATGTTTACAGCAGATGATGATCGCGCCGTTGTCAGCCTATCAAAATGGCCAGGGCGAGTGCTGCATTGCGCTAGTATTCCAGCTATTACTTTCTGTACACATATGGGTGTTTCCAGGTTTTTGCAGAACGTGGTGCTAACTGCTGAATTACATTCGCCAACATAAAAGATGTCCGTACCGCAGTCAGCTACGATGTTTGTGTCTTCGAAGTCCAGAATTGTGTCAGAATGTTGTACGGGAAATATATTTATTTTTGTACATACTCATTTAGGTATGGGATACTTAATTAGGAAGTATTTTGTCCTTATTTTGAAATGTTTTGATAGAAACTACTTCTAATACATCTGTTATGCTAATATTAGTGAAATGCTTAAATGTAATCTCCTTAACATCAACGTTGTTTAACATTAATGGACTGATCAAGATTATTTTTGAAAGTGTAACGGCAAGGATTAAGTTCTGTAAGTCTGAAATAATCATTCTATTTTTTGCTCAAATTGTTTCGTATCAGAGTCAATTTCATCTGTTTTGCTAATTGAGTTAACTATTTCGGTTAGTTCGTTGAGCCTTTTCTGAAATTTAGTGTTTAATTCTTTCTGTCGGTTTTCTGAATCGGTAAGCTGTGTTTACCTAAACTTAATCTGTTTCAAGTCATCGAAATCAGGAGTCCCTGCTACAACCTTCAGAGCTGTCCCCAGTAGGTTTATATATTATTACTTGCGTTTCTATGGTTGACCTTAAGTGTCGAAATTAGTGTGTCGATGTGTCCAAGGTCAGTAAGCAGTACGTTCCGTATGTGGTCCTTTTTAAATAAGTTTATTGTCTGTCTGGTTTCTTCCGTGTACGTCTCAGATCAGCAGAATCAGATCTGTTTGTCGCTTTGTCAAGTTTCATACAACGAGCAATTTATATAGTGCTGTGAGACCATTCCACTTGACCGTTTGAAACACTGTGTGATGGAGGTGTATTTACAATTTGAATTTTAAATTTGGACAAGACGGTAAAATTTACCGACTCAGAATTTTGAGACCTTTCATTGTCGCAATAAATAGTGTTAATGTTGGGAAAAATATTTATAAGTTGCAAAATTGGGTTTTTGATGTCTACGATTGCCCTTGAGCAAATTGGCTGAGTCACAGCAAACTTTGGGAATTTATCAACACACGTTAGAAAGTATTTTTGATCTGTAGAAAATACATCAATGTGTAAATGTTCTCCTGCGTAGGTGGGGATTGCCCTTTCGTCAACATTTATTTTTTTTGGATGTCGGTCAAACTTAGCCCTTGAGTAGACACTACAGTTTGCAACGATTTCTGCTCTTAATTTGGACATATTAGGAATAAAATAGTCACACATTATTTGCTTAACATTTTTCTGTGCCGCTCGGTGGGCTCGGTTATGTTCTGCCGTTTTTATTTCCCTTTGTTCTGATTTAACTGGGATGTCAGTTAGCAAATCCTTTGAGTATCGAAATGTTGTTGACGAGAAAAGTTCGCTCAGTGTGTGTTGTACAAAAGCAAGGATCGGTAGTTCGCAATGGATTCCATTGATGACTCCTGAATTTACTACGTCTTTTAGTGTTTGGAGAAGAGTGTTCCGATAAGAGATCCCAATATGATACTTTTTATTCCGAAATAGCATGAAAGTTTTAACAGATGGGGAATTACTATCTGATTCGTGAAGCAGTTCACTCATTTGAGTGAGTCTCTATATTGTAAGTCAGGGATTCTTCGCTATGGATTTTAGCAATGTCGGAACATTGCGAATCACGTTTTGACGTGACAATGCATCGGCTACATAATTCTCCTTGCCAGGTTTGTAAATTATGTTTGCATTATGCTCGTCAATAAAAGCTTTCCAGCGCTTTATTTGTGCATTGGGTTTTCTATCGGACACAGCATAATTCAGCGGCTAATGATCTGTATAGATGTTGAGGTTTCTCTCACCATGCAGGGATCTTTTTAAATTTTTTAAAGCGCAAACAATGGCATTCCACTTACATGAATCTCATTTTTTGTCTAGAAAATAACTTGAAAAGGCATCGATGAAGTAGCGGCAGATGAGTAACTTGAAGAGGTCGATGAAGAATCAGCGGGTGTTGCGAACGTTGCAGAACTGTTTAATATATGTATAATTTTATACGTATAATTATGTATATATATATTATATATGTATATAATTATAGAAAATAAAAATTGAATAATCTTTATGCAATCTATTGATACCCATGTGCCAAGAATTGAAAGCGAGTTGCAATATTTCAACACAAAAGACAAAAACATTAAATTTGTCTCCAGCTCCAGCTTTTAATTTTTTGCACAAATACCTCGGGTTTCCTTTGGGTACTTTTAGCAGCCACTTTCCATTGCGTTAGAGTTCCCTCGGTGGTGACAGCAATATTCAGGAACCAAAAATTGAAAGCGAGGTGCAATATTTCAGCACAAGAAAAAAAACCTTAAATCTGTCTTCAACTCCAGTTTTAAATATTTTGCACAAATACCTCGGATTTTCTTTGGGTAGCATTTTTCTTTACTTGGGTAGAAGCACTTTACATTGCGTTAAATTTTTTCGTATAGTAGACTTTGGAGATACGAAAAAATTTCATGCGTTACATGATATACATACTATTATGTTAAGAACAGTTTAATTCAAATTTAAATTGTGTAACTTCGTCTTTGTCTTAGATTACGCATTTTACCCGTTCTGGCATTGATTTTAACAAATTCGGGAAGTGTTCTCGGGAAATCGAGTGACATCTCTTGCTACTGTTAAGGTCAGATGTATTTAATTGTGGCTTATTTCTAAGCTTTCGTTTTATTAGCCGTCAAATATTTTCTATTTCAAATAGAGTTGACCTATTTGATGGCCAATCTTAAACCTCAATATGTTTATATTAAGAACAATTTTGGGGCCATTTGGCTGTGTGCTTCGTCCTACTGAATGCACATCTGCCAGTTTTTGTATTAATGGCAGCAAACTTTCTTCTAACATTTTGTATTTTTCAGCGTCCGTTTAATGAAATGCAGTTTTCCTTATCCTTTGCCAGACGTATTTCACTATAGTTTGCAGGAAACTTTGCTGTACTCGCCTAACATCAAACAAGGGAGAACGATATAGTCGAGTTTCCCGACTATTAGATAGCTGTTGCTCAACTAGTGGGAGTGCGAACAATGTTCGACAATCTTTTTGGCATATCGATATCGATTGGCACAAAAAAATAATTTAAAAAAAAAAATCAAACAAATTTCAAAATTGGGGGCTTGGAGGTTATGTTCGGCTTGTGGGCGTTACAGTAAGCGTGGCCAAAAATTTTTATAACATCGATAGAGTAATAAAATGAAAAAGTATCAACTTTTTTCAAAGGCCATCGTTTTGGCTTGGCTTTCAAATCTAAAAACATTTGTAAGAAACATAATTCCTGAAATACTCTATGCTGTTCCACGCAATGCATGGCATCATGTAAATGTTTTTTCTAATTATTACGTTTCTCATGTACTAGATTCGTTGAGCGTTCATAGCATAACTAGTATTTCTAATTCTAGTCTAGAAGCTAATAAGCGAATGAAAAACGTTCCTATCGCATTGTTGCTGTACACGCAAGTATCTTAAGAATTAAATGCGTTTCGAAATCGAAGGAGTTTTCGCTGGCTTCCTTTGCGCTGCGAAAAGTATAGACAATCCAAGCCTTACGCCTCTTCTCTTTCAATTAATTCGGTTATAATTTATTGGAATACTTAATCATATAGCTGCCATAGGAACATTCTGAAAATAGTTATGTTTGTTATAGTTATGTTTGCATAACATTATTATTTCGTTGTTTTCGATCATCACGTCTTCTCATTCTATAGTTTTACAGAAATGTTTCAATACTGCAAGCGAAGGTCACCATCTTCTTGTCTTCAAAGATCTAAAAATAACAAAGTAACTTGTATAAACATAGTTTTATTTTTCTTTTCAGGTCTGCAGATGACACGGTAACTAACCAAAGAGTTGCAATAAAAAAAATATCGCCGTTTGAACACCAAACTTATTGTCAAAGGACTCTCAGAGAAATAACCATATTGACCAGGTTTAAACATGAAAACGTAAATACATACTCGCATAAAAAGATACAAATGATTATAATTCACTAGATAAAACTGCTTTAAAAACAAATGTGCTGATTTTCCTAGTAATTGTTTTTTTTTTGTTTTAGTTTTTGACCTCACCCAATTTTTTAGAGGCTAACAAATCAATACATCATTACATTTTTGGGTATCAGGTATCTGTCACTCCCGGGCTCGGTTTCTTTTTAAAACTTTTACATCTCATAAGTTTAAGAAGAAAGTTAAAAAAATAACGTAACTGATTAAATTAAATAAAACAATTTTATTAAGAAAGTTTGTAATACCTAATTAATACCTGTTTTTGACGGTGTTTTCCCTCCGCAGAAATTAAATAGGTGCTATTAATGATGTTACTAACATGCTGTTATGTGGTGAATGCGGAAATATTACTAATATGCTTACAACTTAACATTTATAATGATCAAACATTTTAATGCCAGTTTCATATAAATGGAAAAAATTTTTTGAAAAAAGAAAGATTTGTAATACTGTAGTTTATTTAACATTAAAATAAAAAGTCAGTGTTGAGCACGGTGATTTAAAAATTGGAGCAATATCTCGTAGCTACCTTAGGAGCTAGTTAATGAATGCATAATCAATAGCCAAGTCGATCTAGTCATGTTCGTCTGTCTGTCCGTCCGAATGAACGTCGAGATCTTAAGAACATTAAAAGCTAGAAAATTTAGATTAGGCATGCAGATAAAAACTGTCACGCCACATTTCGTACATTTCACCAGTAGTGTGAATCGGGAGATGGTATCATAAATTGTAGGTCCTCTTGGGTCCGCACGGTTTGGCATTGAAATCGCCACGCACATAAATATATCCTAATTTTGTAAGCGCATCGTATCTGCAGTGAGCGCACTGACAGACAAAGTTAATCTTGGAGTGAACAGTAAAGATAACCATTCGAGGCATCTGAATGTTTTGGCGAATTGGTTGGCGGTAATAGAGCGCTATCAGTACTCAAATCCTAAAAGGGTTAGCTTGACCAATATAGCTTAATTTCTTGAAATTTTAATTTTTTTTAATTAGTGTGTATACTTGTTTCATTTCAGATTATTGATATTCGAGATATTCTTCGAGTTGATAGCATAGACCAAATGAGAGATGTTTACATTGTACAGTGTTTAATGGAGACTGATTTGTATAAACTACTTAAAACACAGGTAAGGATGATTCCTGGTATTTTATTATAATTTATTGAAAAGAATAGTAGTTCTATCGGATATGTGTGTCAATTTTAATATTAAAGTCCATGTGTTGGTTATTACTTCAAATACTAAATCTTACAATATTTGAAGCTTGTCGGCCGTTGAAAATTATGGATTGTAAAAGTGAAGTGCAGAAATGTACCGAAATGTATCTTTTAAACTTCAAGCTTTCAAAATTGCTTGGCAAAAAAAATTCCAAAATCCCTGACTTGCCATTATATTGTGTATGTTTTAAAACGAACTTTACCCTTTAAATTCGTACCGATCTCTATAAAAACACCTCGAAACGCACGTCGGATTTAACCCCATCTGTCACAGGACACTACACCATCCACTCCCTGTCAAACCACCTTGTCGTCTCCTTTTTTGCCACGGCTCGCTCGGGTCAAAGGTTCAGCAACTTCTCATAAATTCATGAAGCGTCCAAAGTCCGCACCGTTACCAATCGACTTCTTCGCCCTTGGCCGGTACGAGTCTAAGGTCCGGTGCGACACCGTTAATTCACGGTCTCTCTGCATTGCTGTACGACAAGATCCATTACTTCGTTCGTTGAAAAGAAGCAGATAGAAGAAAACTTTTCCAACCATATAAAGCATATAAGTGAAGCTTTTCGTGCTAGTTGCGTGTTCGATACAGATTAACTGTTAATAAAATTCGTCATCTTTGATTGAGTTAAGATTTATTTCTTCCTTTTTCCTTAAATTCTCAATTGTGTTTATACCCGTTAATCCTAGCTAGAATGTATCCGTTACAAAATCTAGAATGTTGAGATTAAGCATGAAGGCTCCAGAGACATAGATGTATCGCAAACACGGCACGCAAACACATGCCACATTCCCACACTTTTGAAAAATGTGATATTTTTTCATTTTTTTATATATCTTGTAAATTTCTATAAGTTAACTGTCACGCTCACACGTTTGAAAGAAGTTTTAATATTTTTAATTTTTTTATATATCTTCTAAATATATACATATGTATATAAATTAAACCAAATACGTTTGTATTATTAAATGGTTCTTTTATTAGAGCCAACTGCTCTGAATTCTGGTCTGTTACGAACTAAAGACAAATCAAATTTATTTAGGCCGCCAAGTCTTCGGTTGGAGGCAGCGGACTCAGCAGAGCGCTTGGTCAGCGCCTCGTGCCGTCTGGAGTTTCCTGCCTTAAACGGTCACCCAGCGCGCGCATGCCCGCCTGGCATTACGCTGACCCGTGCACATCGCTTTCGCTAAAGCGAAATCCGCACATCCGTTCTTGGATGGCATTTTGGCGGGTCGTTGCACCCCTCTGACTTGCGCGTGTTAACTCCTCCTTGTCTTAAGATGAAGTCGTCCCCGGATTCAATGGTCTTAGACGGTTGTTGACGTTTGGCTTTCAGACGGTATATGAGAAAGATGATGACCAGGGTTATTGAGGCTGTGGAGGAGACAGAGCAAAAGATCCAGGTGTTGCCTGATGGCAGTCTGGATTGAAGGTGGTTGATGTGCTGCAAGTTTTTAACGCTCATTCCGTGAATTGATGACAGACTAAGGCGCTCTAGATGTCTCAGAACGTTTACTTGAGCCATGGCTGAAACTGCGGCCTTCTTCTTTTATGTTCCGATATTGTTGACGAAAGGAGTGCCGTTTATTTTAATTTGTTCGGTATATGATACCAGGTAAGTTCCTGATATTATCCGGCTTATTCCCTTTTCGTCGGTGATATTTATCGTTACATCGTTGGTGATGAGCATTCCCTCGTCGATCATGGTGACTGGGTCCAAGTGTCCAGGCTGGGTGTTGCAATGGGCGACCATGCCAGAGATGAGTTGTTGTGCGCAGGTTGGCGCATTCGATCTCCTGCAGAAGGTGGTGCCCGCTGATACATTGCAGTCCTTGACGGCGAAGGTTTCTGTCCCGCAATCCGCGACCGTGCTACCGTCCTCGAAATCTAATATTCTGTTTTCATGCTGTACCGGGAATATTCGTATTTTCTACAAGTTAACAAAGGCTTCGGAAATTTTATTAAAAAGTACAATAGGTCTCGATTTTGAAAAGTTTTTATGCTGGCTACCTCTAAAAATCTGACACGCTAACGTTTGTGGGATGCTTACTTTCAATCTCCTTTACGTCAACGTCATTCAAGATTATTGGACTTATTACGTTTAATTTGGAAAGGGTGATTGCAAGTATTAAATTTTCAAGTTCTTGAATTACAACACGGTTTTTTGCCAAAATCGTCTCGTACAAATGTTCTGTGTCTAAGTTGTCTGATTTTAGAATAGAATTCATGGATGAGGTCAGTGTGTTTAATTGCAATTGTATTTTGCCGTTAATTCCTATTTCTATCACCCTTAGTGTGTCCAGAAGAGTTTCTATTCGTTCCAAGTCCGTTTCAAGTACCCGTCTCATGTGCTCCTTCACGAAAAAGTCCATCGCGTGTTTCGTCTCGTCCGCGTAAGTCTCGTACGATGTAACGTTCGTTGTATGTCCCATGTAACTGTACTCGTCCCATAAAGTAACGTCTCCGGCCATTATTGGTATGTTGTTAGCGTGTGAGTACTCGTTTAGTTTCATGGTCCAGGAGGGAGTTGTCAGTAGGACTAGCGTGAGCAGCAAGTTTCCCAACCTAAGTGCGAAAAATATAAAATATAGAGAGTCACAAACGTCACTAAAGTATAAAAAGGTGATAATTTGAAATAATTTATAAAAAATATAAAATTAAATTAGGCACCCTCTTACCGAAGGTTGTCCTTATGGACCACCCTCCCTTTAATAAGCACTGTCGTGCCCAGATCAGCCTCAATGACCTCTTCTTTTATCCAGACTTTTTCGCCTACTTGGTACTTATTGCTTTTGTGTGCATTTGAGTACCTAAGTGTTTTCTCTTGAGCAAGATCTGGTGGAATAGCGTGGACTATTTCATGAGGCTTTTTATTTGTAACCGAGTGGACGGTTCTGTTATATTCTATTGTTGCGAATAGAATAAGGTCGGTCGCCTCGGTTATGTTTTGATCTATCTTGATGCACCGTGCGATTTCCGCTAGGGTGCTATGAAATCTCTCAACTCTCAAATCTCTCAAAGATGTGCTGTGTAACGGGGGCGCATTTGAGACCTGTATACCATACCTATTTTCTTGGATGGTTCGTATGGTTTGTGAGTTGATAGACCTTTCATTGTCGCAGTAAACTGTTTTTATTTTGGGGAACAGATTTATTAGTTGTAGTATCGGAGTTTTGATATCTACGATTGCTCTTGAATCAATTGGTATGACTATAGCGAATTTTGAAAACTTGCCGATACCAGTTAGAAAATATTTTTGATCATTTGAAAATATATCTATGTGGATAATTTCCCCAGTATAACCGGGAATTGGTGTTTCCGCTATGGTTTGTTGTACTGGGTGACGATTGTATTTTGCTTTGGAACACGTTCTGCAATTTGCGGTGATTTCTGCCGCTAGCTGGCCCATTTTGGGAAAAAAGTAGTCACGAAGGACCTTACGTTTTCCTGTCCTGCTCTATGGGCTCTATTGTGTTCCGTGGTCATAATTTCCCTTTGTTCGGTACTGTTTGTTATATCGATGACCAAGCTCTTACAATGTCTAAATGTCGTCGAGGGAAAAGCGACGATTAAATCGTGCTGAATGAAGGCGAGTATAGGTAGGTCGCAGTGGATTGCATTGACGACATCTATTTTTACTAAATCTTTTAGTGAGCGAACCAATGTTGTGCAGTCTGTAAATCGCACAATGTGACGCGTTTTTGATTTAAAAAGGATGATTGAGTTTATAGACGGGATCACTATTTGGTTCCTAAAACAGTTCACAGGTTTTTCTGTTGACTCTACAGTGTAGGTCAACGACTCCTCGCTGTGGATAGTAGCGATGTCGGAGTGTGTCTCATTATCTAAAGCATTTACGTGTTGTCACGACAAGGCGTGGCTACGTTGTTTTCCTTTCCCGGATTGTAGAACACTTGTGCGTTATGTTCATCAACAAACGCTTTCCACCTCTTGAGCCTGTGATTCGGATTTTTATCCGACATTGAACCGGTCAGTGGTTGATGGTCGGTATAGATGTTTAACTTCTATACGCCCTACGTATTACTCGTAACGTTCGAGAAATCATGGTGATCGGACGACCTTTCTGTGAAAGAACAGCCTCTAGGCCGCATCCAGAGGCGTCAGTGGTCAAGTCAAATGGCTGGGTGAAATCTGACATCCTCAGACTCCAGGATGATTCCTAATTTTTCGAATGGTTTTCGCTGCTCGTTGGTCAGTTTAAGTTTGACAATTTTTGAGTTGTTTGCACCAATTTTTCCGTTGTCACCTTTTAGAATATTCGTCAGAGGTCTTGCGATGCTAGCAAACCTCTTTAATAATAACTGGTCAATCACAAAAATGACCTGAGACTGAACAATGCGGATGGAGGTTGTTACTCTATTATAGCCTTAACCTTCTCAGGTGAAGTTCTAATTCCCCCTCGGGACACTATGAATCCCAATCTACGTTCTCTTTAAAGAACTTAGATTTTTCTACAGACATGCCTGCATCGCACAAAGTTTTTAGAACCGTGTTTATATCGTTGACCTGACTCTCCATTGTTTGGGAGAAAATGATTACGTCATCGACGAAGACAGCAAGTTTTACCGATGTGTTCTCTGAGAACATCATCTATGGCCCGTTGGAAAATACTAGGGGCATTTTTTAAACCAAGGGAAAGTCTGCAGAATTCATACTTCCCGTTGTTGACCGAAAAAGCTGTCTTTTCTCGATCGCGCTCCGCGAGCTCAATTTGATGGAAGCCCGACTTCAGATCAAGAGTCGTGAAGTACTGAGCTTTTCCAATGTTCGACAGTATGGTCCATATGGATAGTATAGGAGACTTGTCGTCAATTGTTTTCTGATTCAGTTTCCTGAAATCAATAACGAGACGCGTCTTATATGACCTTCTTCGTCAAAACCTTTCTTATCAACAACCCAAATTGGGTTATTGTAAGGCGACCGGGATGGCCTTATTATTCCGTCTGCTAGAAGTTGTTTAATCTCCGTATTGACGAAATCGGCTACACCCATCGGATATGGGTAAAGTTTTGAATATATGGTTTCCCCGTCAGTGCGGATCGTGGCGACCGTATTTATATTAAAGGGGAGGGACTCGTTTGGGTTCGCAAAGGCTTTCGATCTGTTTTTGATCATTTTGAAATCTTCGTTGACGGTGCCAAACGCCGTCCACGTCATCGATGTTAATAAAGTTTACATTTCTGCATTTTGAATAAAAAATTTGCTCCGTACCATGATCATGCTCGATGATGTTTTTTGTTAGATCAATTTTTGCGTTGACCCTTTTTAGCACATCTAGTCCAACAATTCTGTCATATCCGTTCAGGTTGTTTAACAAGAAGTATAACTTAACATTGAATAGATGGATCAGACACTTTTGTTCTATTTTTGTATGACCATGGATTGATGTGACTTCGAAGGGTGTTTCCCCCGGTTTTAAGTGATTTAATTCTGTTAGAGGTTTTATGTGATTTTTGGAGGCTCCTGTATCCAACAGTAACCTAATTTTCCGCCCCGCTATCGTACGAATTATGTACGGGAGCAGGGACCTACCCCTAAAAAATTACATGATTCGGAATCGGACGTGTTATCTGCCTCGATTTTCGCTGCTTCGTAGGATGACTTTACCCTATACTCCTGGTCATTTGACTGCTCTTGAGTTGTATGTATCGCCCCTGAATTTAGAACGTGATGTGGGGTCGACGTCCATTGGTTCAGGACCTAGGTTTTGCGTATAGCCTTTCCGAGGATTATTTGATTCATTGTTCTGTTGCGTTTGGCAATTGGTTTTTAGAAAATTGAGGGTGCTTAGCTTGAATACTAGTGCCCGGTGCATTATAGTTTTGGTTTCTCTTGAAAGCACCCTGGGAGTTGTTGTGATCATTACCTTGGCGGTTACCCTGGCGACGGTTTTCCGAATTGTAAGATTTTTCTTCTAAATTTTTATTAAAGCTTGCAACGAACCTGGCTCGTTCATTGCAAGACTCTGCAAGTTGAGCCAATGCTGATGGCAAATCTTTGGGCGCAGCTGAGAGAACTACGTGTCGGACTGATTTTTTTAACCCGGTCACAAAAGCGTTCAAAGCGTCCTGCCGTGATCTATTATTTAAGATAGCGGCAGTACCTATGTCATAAGACAACAAAGTCTTACTAATAATAAGAGTTAGCTTTTTCTCAATCTCATTATAAAAAGTCATTAGGGGAAGTTCTCCTTGACGCATAGTAACCATTTGCTGCTGCGTAACTTCGATGGGAGTTTGTTCTGGATATGCGCAGTCCATTCTAGCTATTTTAGCATCGAAATTAAGTACTGTATTATGTGACGTAAGCATTACTCCCGCGGGGCCTATTACCTTGTTACCTTTGATTCCTACGGCCTGATAGGTTCTAGAACTACCCAAGTATGGTTTGTAGATTTCGTAGGCGTTAACTGCTGCGGTTCGCAATGCGATATACTCATCTTATTTGCCGTCAAAAATTGGTATGAACTTCACCAAGTCTATTGGTTCATCACTAGGGATAGCAGCGTTGTGTGTTATTTGCTCGAATACTACTACGGGTCCACCCTGATTTATTATTTGCCTATTTTCAACCTCTTTAAGCTTTTCTGCGAATATTCTTTGTTGGTGCTCTAGTGCGCCATTTACGGCCGCTTCCATGAGTCTAATTACATCTTTATTACTCATGGTACCTGATGTTTCCTGTGTTGGTATTGCCTCTTGTTGAAGGTCCTGTGTTGATTTTGAAATTGTTGATCGTTAACCATTTTTACTTTGTCTGTAAAGCCGTCTATTAAGTTTTTTAATTCTATATCTTCGTCGGTCTCAGTAACCCCCTTGTTGGTTATTATTTCTTATGTCTTTATACCTCTGTATTAAGTCCTCGTCATTGTCGTTGTTTTCGTTACTGTTTCTATACATCGGACAATGATACATTTGCGATTTTTTTACTTAATAAAGAACTACTTTTTAGGAAAGACTTTAATTTTCTTTCTTCATTTTTTTTAAACAATTTGTAAATGAAAATCACTATACGTGAACTTTTAATTGGAATCAAACTTTTTTTTTTATTTATTCTATTTCGTTATTTATTATGTGTATTTTTTTCAAAAAATGGCACACATGTCTGGTTGACGTTAAAAGAGGTAAATTGAAAATAAAGATCTCACTTACATGTTATATTGGTATATTGAAATGCAGCGAGGACGGTAGCTGGATGATCCGTTTATCCTCTGGCTGTCGTTGATTTAGCTGTTTACTGTTACATTACAGCGGGTTTCACTGTTGCTTGTGCAGCGTTGTTTTGTTTTTGTATGATTTTTTTTGTTTTTGTGTTGCTGTTCACTGTTGTTGTGCAGCGCGCGAGTCCGAAGTGTTTCCAAGAAAAACCGATTACGAGACCTTGATTTCTAGATCTTTTTATTACGGATTTTACGTTATTACGACACTTAGGCGCGTTGGGCGTCAATTAAATCAAATACGTTTGTAGTATTAAACGGTTCTTTTATTAGAGCCAACTGCTCTGAATTCTGGTCTGTTACGAACTAAAGACAAATCAAATTTATTTAGGCCGCCAAGTCTTCGGTTGGAGGCAGCGGACTCAGCAGAGCGCTTGGTCAGCGCCTCGTGCCGTCTGGAGTTTCCTGCCTTCAACGGTCACGCATGCCCGCCTCGCATTACGCTGACCCGTGCACATCGCTTTCGCTAAAGCGAAATGCGTTACTGAGCTGGCTCAGCGTCGTCAATGTAATTCTTGGCACATCCGTTCTTGGATGACATTTCGGCGGGTCGTTGCACCTCTCTGACTTGCGCGTGGTGAAGGGAGACAGAGACAGAGACAGAGACAGAGACAGAGACAGAGACAGAGACAGAGACAGAGACAGAGACAGAGACAGAGACAGAGACAGAGACAGAGACAGAGACAGAGACAGAGACAGAGACAGAGACAGAGACAGAGACAGAGACAGAGACAGAGACAGAGACAGAGACAGAGACAGAGACAGAGACAGAGACAGAGACAGAGACAGAGACAGAGACAGAGACATATACATATACATATACATATACATATACATATACATATACATATACATATACATATACATATACATATACATATACATATACATATACATATACATATACATATACATATACATATACATATACATATACATATACATATACATATACATATACATATACATATACATATACATATACATATACATATACATATACATATACATATACATATACATATACATATACATATACATATACATATACATATACATATACATATACATATACATATACATATACATATACATATACATATACATATACATATACATATACATATACATATACATATACATATACATATACATATACATATACATATACATATACATATACATATACATATACATATACATATACATATACATATACATATACATATACAGCATGCAGATTCAAGAGATATAGACGCAAAATATATAGATATAAAAAAAAAATAAATAAGTTTTTTTTTAAGCACAAATAATGCTGCTTCGGTTAAGTGATTAACGTTGACTGTCAATTACAATTGTTAGTGGTACTCATTTTGGTAAAGCCCAACCGCGCTGGCAGTAACACAGGCAGCGGATGGCATAATTATGTTAAACTTATATAAAAGAAGTATAAAAAAAAGAGCAGCGTGGAGAGAACATGTTTAAGGTGCGCATTTACAATATATCAATGGTTGGTCAGCTTGAGAATGTTGTTTCCGCACTTAAGCCGTTTCAACTTTCAAAATTTCTAAGTGTGTTATAGCAATTATTTACCTTATTTATTATAGTGTATTTATAATAATAATACAGATATTAATACAGATAATAATACATAATATATATATACAGAGGTGGTCAAAAGTATTTACACAACGTGCTTTTTTTTCAATTGTCAACTTTGATCGCTTATTGCTGCTGCTTTTGTACTCAGAAACGAACATAACGGTATTTGTCGTGCTTCTACATCTATACAGAAGCAAACGAAAGAAGAAGTGGAAAAATAACTGTTCATGGGCTAAAAATAGAAGCATTGAACTGATGCTTGTCTGTTGTCAAATTTGATTTTTCTTTTGTGGACCACGACGTACCAGATATATTAATATCGCCTAGTACACTCAATTGGACCCTATCGGACAGCTTATTTGAAACGGTGGATGGTGGGCAAATGGTTAAATATTCTTGCAGTTATCCACCTCCTACGCCACGAGGGAGGGATGATCGTGCCTGTAATGTGTACATACTGGGGAAAACTTCAGAGTTTAGAATTCTCATTTTTAACTTAGTCTCTGTAAACAAAATAATAAGGAATTAAAAGGATGGGGCTATCAGAATAATTTAGTTAGCTTGCTTGTATTTTGATAAGATATAGTGAGGTTAGAAGTTAGTTATTTGAAGAAGAAATATAAGAGGAGGATGGTTCAGTGGTCTGGCTACGTTATCTGATACTTGATTAGGATTTCTGGCCAAAATGTTCTAGGCATGTCCGTTTGTTTGCTTGTATAAACGTTATGATCTAATGTAAGAAATTTAGTCCAAAAGATATCAATATGCCAAAAGTGTTTTGACCACGTCTAGTGGGCGTTACAAAGCGTAAAAAACTGTCACGCCCGCCATATTTAAAAATACTTTGATTATGTTGATTTTATAGTTTTCTTGCCAATATCTCTTGATTTGCCAAACAATTTTTAAATATTTGATCCGCGCTCGACTATAGTTTTCTCTCTTGTTTTGTTCTATATGTATATATATATTTATTTTGCCTCGTAATAATGAAAACCTAATTTGCTTTCATTTCAGAGGCTAAGTAATGATCACATCTGTTACTTTTTATATCAGATATTGCGTGGACTTAAGTACATCCATTCAGCAAACGTCTTGCATCGGGACCTTAAGCCAAGTAATTTACTGCTTAACAAGACGTGCGACCTAAAAGTACGTAAACAATTATAATTTCCATATTTTACTTTTTATATAATACAGTTAATAAATAATGTAGTATAAAATCTTTTTAAGTTTAAACAAGAAAAAAACTCATATCTTAGCGGGAAAATAAACATTTAATGCGGCGTCTATCGTATCGAAAAATATCGTTTAAGCTAATTAGTTCCGGATAAATATAGGCGATCATGAAAATACGCGTAGAAAATATTGAAAGATTCGCAATGTTATCGGTTCTGGTTTTCTGATATTCAGTCAGAGTGAAAAATATATAGTTTCGGTAAAATGATTAAAATGTAATGATTGCATGGCTTGCATGATTACATTTATTTTTTACAGCTTCGACGTATAATAGCGTAATAAAAAAAATTTATAAATAAGCCGAATGCACTCTTTATTACAATCAAAATCAAACTGAACTTATATTCCTGTACTCGGAATACTAAGAATCTTTTGGCCACACCCCTTCTAACGCATAAAATTTAAATATTTTCGGATTATTGTTGATTATCCTGTATTTCTTGCAAATTTCTATCTCTAGCTCAGAAAACTGTTGAAATTTCTAGAACCCCTACTAGCTGAGTAACGGGTATCTGGGTATCGCGTTCTGTATTTTTAAAATTTTAATATTAAAAGAGAGCAAAATTTTATGAAAAGAAACGAATAACGCGCAAAAAAACCAAAAAATATGTACTTTAATACACAAATTTGAAAACAAAAACGTATAAGCAATCTAGGCAAATCAGGGTTTTTATCTCAGCTCAGCTGACAAATGAAAATACAATTTAAGCAACGCTTTTGGTCCCTGATTAAATACGAATTCCTTATACACACAAATTGTGTGCGAACTAAAATTGAAATAGCAGCAAGTGTTTTATTAAAGTATTCCCCAGTTTCGTGTCTGGCACGAAACATTTTTATTAAATTTTAATATCTAGCAGGAAATGATTCAATTTGCTTTGAATTTTAAATTCGACGCGAAGAGCAGAAGGCCGGGGAAAAATTGGGAAGACGACATGGATGAAAGAAGCTATTCTAAGTATACCGTCTTATCCAAAGGAAGTCTGACAGACAATTACTAATCCATGGAATGATTATTTCTATATTTTATTATTTCCTTGCATCCTAGGACAGGGAACATCTTGGCAGTTTTTCAAGTGGTGTATCGTCATCTGATGCCTTACAGAACGACATCCATGTCGTCGTCCACGACTTTCACACATGGAATTTCTTTCCCGGCAGCTATTCACGGAGGCTTACATCTCCACGCTGCTACGTGGACAGCCGGTTCCACACAGGGCGAAATCACTATCATTACTCTCCAACAACTCTGGGCTCTCTTGTAGTATTTTTTTTCTCTGCCATTTCTTCGTCGAACTCTCTAGAGGTAGTTGAGATATAACCAAGAAACACTCGTGTGTTCAATTCAAGTTTTGGCAAGGTTTAGAGCATTGACGGGATTGTGGCCAACACACTTATCTAAAAACTACCGCCTGGCTTTTCATAGCGATGTCGGTACTCCCTAGGCCGACAATTCGTTAAATTGGTGTCAGGTCTATACCTGACAGGTGGCCCTATGCCACCAGTGGTTTGCAAAAACCCTGGCCTACGTAAATTCCGCTCGCCTTCGCGGTCAGGAACTGCCACGAGAGATGCCGTGGACCGATCAATTTACCGCTCGTTATGAATCATCGAATAAAAAATTCATCCTTTTTGTCAGTCGCTTAACCTCATGTGGTCGACTTTGGAAAGGAATATGCTACGCGACCGTGCGGGGACTATCGGAGGCAATACGGTCCACCACGCAACCAAAGCCGGATGTGGTCCACTAATTAACTCCCGTCATCCTCGCGCGGCGGAGGTTGACAGCTTACCCTGAAAGCCCCAGCGATCAGCTGCTGGCGCACCCCATTCCCCAACAGTGGTTCAGCAACCAGTATACTGCTACTGCTACTATACTTTCGTCCTGGTAAAGAAGAAGGACGGTTCCACCAAAGGCACAAGAAGCGTAACGGCCACTTTTTTTGGTGGTGGTAATGATTTCTCTCTTTCCGCTGACGTAAAACTGAGAGCGTAAAAATAGAAAAATATAATTGCTTGTTTGAGTAATAAGGAAGAAAATGAATGTGTATGTGTGTTAAAGGACGATTTTTATGTCGAAATCAATTTTGATCTAAAAACGAATTTGATTAAAGTTTTGGTCAATTTCGTTGTAATATGATCTAATAAAAAACATTGATAATTTTGTTTAAAATATCAATTATATGTACATAACATTCATTATTTGAGTGAAACCATAATGAGAAATCGGTACTATCCTTTGTGCACTTAATGCCTTTCTCTTCAATACATTCTTTAATAAAAAGTTGTTTTTAATTATTATATACGTTAATCGTAGAGTACAAGGCTATACTAGATTAGTTAAAAAGTATGTAACAGGAAGCGTTTCTGACCACATAAAGTATATATATTCTTGATCAGGATCAATAGCCTAGTCGATCTGGACATGTCCGTACATCCGTCTGTCGTATGAGAGTCGACATCTCAGGAACTATAAAAGCAAGAAAGTTGAGATTGGGCATGCAGATTCCAGAGACATAGACGCAGCGCATGTTTGTAAAATGATATTGCCACGTCCACTCGAATGCCCACAAACCGCCCAAAACTGTCACGCCCACACTTTTGAAAAATTATTTTGATATTTTTTTTTAAATATGTTTTTATATTTTCTTATTTTTATTGACTTGTAAATTTTTTTCGTTTTGTCAAACAACTTTTCAAAACGCCTACAATCAGCCCAAAACTATAATTTTATTTTTTTTTCCACAATTTTTACCGATATTTCAGAAAATGTTTCAATTTCTCGTTCGCACTTTCACTTGCTGAGTAACGGGTATCTGATAGTCGGGTAACTCGACTGTAGGTTTTCTCTTGTTTATGTAAATGTTTTGAAGAACTGTAATGTGTAAAATACATACAGATATTAAAAAAGATCTGGTCGTGCCTTTACTTTTCCATAGTCCGATTTTATAGAGTAGTTTTTCTCATGTATGAAAAGCTACATACTAGTAATTTGTACTTATAAATATACTAAATAATTAAAATACTTCAAAGGCAAAAACAAATTATTATGGTAACTAAATACATACATTTTCCAAAAAAATAAAATATATATTTTTTAAATAATTCATATTTAAAAATATACAATCTGTTTTTTGCAAAAATGGATTTCTTGGGGCACGACGCACCTAAGAATTACTGCCTTAACAATTTTTTTCCACGTCACAAGCTAAATAGTTTAACGACAATTATTCTAGTATAAAGTAATTTATGTAATTTATTATGTCTTATTATGTATGTACATATATGCTGTATTCGAATAATTATAATTTTAAGGCAATGCAACATTCGAGTTTTTTACATGGTGACAGTCGTTTAAAAATAAAATAGATTTAAAGTCCATAAACTTGAAAAGTAAATGGCATATTTTGTCAAATTTACATGGCGTGTGCACTCATACAACGGTCGAATGGCGCGGTATGCGTAGAGAGAGTTGCTGGCTTTTAAGCCAAAATTCGAGAGAGCGTGGAGCTGTCTAAAAAAAAAATGGTATGGCGTGACGCATCTTGATATTCTAATACATATGTTTGGTTCCATCCGGTTCTATGTGGACTATCGACGTCTAAACGTCTTCACTATAAAAACTATTACCTTCTACCAAGGATGAACGACATCTTGACCACGATGCATGGCGCCTGCTGGTTCTCAAATAAAATTAATTTATCTACCATCAAACTATAATTACTCTTATTATATTTAAAATATAATTTATATTGTCGTGGATATAGATAAGCCAATGGAGCATTTTTAGTTTCAAAAGTGGCTTTTTGGATTCAGTGTGCTTGCGCTAGGAGAGTCGCCTATCCTTATGGATTCCAAGATAGGTTACCTCGTCAGTTTGCGGGATGAGTGTGTTGTTCAAGACAGGTTTGTTTGTTGAGTGTAACCATAATGTGCTTTCGTTTTTTTCATTTATTTTAATTCAGAAAGATTGCCGAGCAATATTCCCGTTGTTTAAATGCAGTACGAATTTCTGAAGTGATGCGATTCTCTCTAAAGCCAAATTGATGTGATGTGATTCGATTTTTAAGAACAGCTTTGAAAGACTTATTGGTCTATATGGCGGTGGATGCGCTTTTTCTTTACCTGGGTTCTGAATTATTACTAAAATGGACCTTTTTCACCTTTGCGTAAAAGGATTTAATCTTAGCAATTGCGTTAAAATTTTACGGTTAGCAACGCACTGGCTCTTTCTTCATCGCTAAGTAGCCAGTGTCCAATAATGTGTAGCAGAGGCACCAAAGTTTCGGTTGGTGTCGAAAGATTTCGTTGAACTTTCCTAAATTGATGCTTTTTTACTAGTGGGCGACAGTTTTTCAATGTACCGATATTGGGTAATTTCTTCCTCTAGCTTTAAGGCTTTTGTAAGTCTGCGTGTGGCTATCTTCAGGCTTGTGTTAAGTCTGTTAAAATTTCTCTGTTGGGTGGGTTTCCAATGGGTTTAGATGAAACGTGTGTTCAACTAGTGTAGATTCTAGTATACCAGCCCATTTATCAATATCCGCAGTATTTTATATTCCTGAATATGGGACAATGTGGGAACGTATGAATTTCTTGTACTTGTCGAGTTGGTTCTGTAGCTTATAAGCTTATACATTCGCTCGGTAAGTAAGACTGGAGAGTGATCAGATGACAAATCTGGAAGTGACTCGGCAGTTAATAGACTTTAGTGATAGCAAAATCAATGAAGTCTGCCAGCTTTTAAGGATCGGCTGGCCAGAATATACATACCTTATACAGCCCTTGAACAAATTGAAGAAACGTAGTCCACCTTATTTTGCGGCTTGATGATCACATTGTATAGCTGATTTCCTTTTGTGGTTACAAGACGAGATCAATTCCATATAGACATTGTTAATGGGGCTATTATGTTG